CTTAACTTAAATTGTTGGTGTCATGTCTTTTTACTAAAGCTGGAGAAATACTTCATTGAAAAAGTATTATAAAAGTATAACTACCCCCAAAAAACATCCAAAGTCGTACTTGAGTAAATTGAACTGGAATAACTTGATCAAATACCTCTGGTTGGGTAGTAACTAGTTACATTTACTCCATTATAACTTGTCTGTAAATATCTACATTATAGTTTTTACATTATGTAATTTTACCATAAAGTATCGCTACTCTTCGTAAAAGTTGTGCAAAAAAAATAAACTTTTACTGAAACTGTTGGTTGGTGCGTCGACAGGTCGTGTATTTTATTTTTTTTACTCAAGTTAGAGTAGAGATACTTCATTTAAAAAGTATTGCAAAGGTATAACCACTCTAGGAATTTTATTTTCCCAAAAGGTTACTCCAGTAAATGTAAACAGTTACGACTCATATCAAATAACTCTAGAGTTGGGTTGTAGCAAGTTACATTTACTTGAGTAACCTTTTGGAAACAATGTATTATTAGGAGTATTTTTGCTATGCTGTACTTTTTACTGTTGAGTAATTTTATTATGTCGCTACTTCTGAGCAAAATTTGTGCACAAACAAGAAATTACTCACAGTGGGTAGAGTATCCAGAAATTTTACTCAAGTAAAAGTAAAAAGTAGCTGTACAAGAAATGACTAAAGTTAGAGTAAGAAGCATTTGGTAAAAGTACTGAGTAAAGATCAAATTATCAATCATGTAATATTTAATTGAAGTGAAAACTTTGGTATTTAAATGACAGTAATGCATATAAGTAACAAACAATCGGCAAAATCAGGCAAAAGAAACATTTTCCAAATTAGTTTCTTTCAATAAAAACTTTTGTAACGTTAAAAACTGCAGGTGTGTTTCTGTTTCTGGTGAATTTTTGGTTAAAACATGTTTGTTTTTCATTCAGTGGGCAAAAGATCCAGAAATTTTACTCAAGCAACTGTAGAAATACTTCATAATAAAATTGCTGAAGTAGAAGTACAAAGTACAGCTCAGTAAAAAAATACTCATGGAAGTCCATTTTTACTCAAGTAAATGTAACTGAGTACAAAACATGTTTTGTAGTGCTGGAGTACAATTTTTGAATGACAGTGTGACTCATAAGCATGGAGGAACAAATTCCACGCACTCACACGCCCCCCCCCCCCCCCCCCCCCCCCCCCTCCCCCCACACACACACACACACACAGACCCCACTGTGACCTGCTGAATCAGGCTGCAGCGTCTCATCAGTCCTGCTCATCAAAGCGCCTCTCTCCTGCTGCGCCCCCTGCGTGGGTTACCGCGTTTTCAAGTGATGATGGATGCAGGTGTGTACGTGCAGGTCCGCCGCTCACGCATAGGTGTGTGCGCGGGTTTAATCAAGCCCCCCCTTTGCTCCGGGGTTGCATCTGTCAGCCACTGCCACCGTTGTGGTCGTTTGAACTCGCAGGCCCTTTTCCGACAGAGCGCCTCTCTCTCATTAGCGGCAGCTTATGCAATCAGTGTCCCACAGGTATCCAGTTCGCTCCCCGCCCCGCCCCGCCCCGCCCCGCCCCGGCCTGCCGCCTCCTGGAGGACCAGATGGGAGGCTGACCCGATGAGCCGGCAGCTGGAGGCACCGAGCCGGGGTAATTAACGCCGGCAGACAGAGGTGAGTGACGCTCCTTACACGTTGTGAAGGTCAGTTTTGCTCCGGAAACAGGTGGGGCATTTTAATAATCGATTATTCTGACGATTAATCGATTTAAAATATTCTGCAGATTTTTCATTTAATGACTTAAGCCCTTTCATGCACAATATTAGAAATAAATAAATGATTAAATTAGTTAAAAAAGAGAAAGTTATGATTTCATTGTCTAAAATGTAATAAAATGAACAAATAAAAACAAAAGTAACACATAGGAAACAAAATAAATAAAATTGTGAGATTAAAGTTGAAGGACATCGAAGTCATAAAATCAAAATATAGTAATACATTTTCGAGAATTGTAATATTATTACTTTATTCTGGTATTATTTCAACTTTATTTTTGTGATTTTATGACTTGATTCTTGTATTATTTTGACTTTATTCTCTTGGTACTATTCTCATGTGACTTTATTCTCCTAACTGTATGACAATGTCATCATAATTTATTTAGTTTTTTATCTTCTTGGGCTAAGTTTCCTTGTCTACACTCTATTATTTATAGCAAAGGATGCATCTGCAGCTAAAAAGATACTTCTAGCGTCAATATGTGAAAAGTCCAACCCTTTAATCTGTTGATTATTGATTGGACATTTAATAATTGGATAGCACAAGAAGCTAAAACCATTCATGCACCTGAGGAGTTCTTGGTAGAAATGTAAAACTCATATTTTTGCACATTTTTGCTTTCATTACTGCTCTAAATATGTTCTTCTGTCAGCAAATTGGCTTTTTTAGAATTGTTCTAACGATGGATCGATTTCTAAAGTAGTTGAAGATAATTTTAATCATTGATTAATCACGATTAATCGTTTCAGCCCTTGGTTAAAGAATGTATATTTCAAAGAGTCTAGATGCCCTCTCTGGATTGAAGTGCCCTCTGATAGCTTTGAAAATTTGTTGAGGCGGTTTCAAACCCTGGTACCCCCTGCTGAGCGCTGTCACTTTGCTTTTATTACAGTCACATCCACAGCGCCCTGGCTGGACAATGCATGAATGTTTAAATTGCTCACAGTGTCCACTGGCATCAACATCAACCGCCATCGAAAGCAGGGAAGGCAGAGTACTCTATAGCTCCTCTTTCGCATTTTAATTCATCGGCATTACTCTTCACTGGTCTTGTCCATCAGACAGGTCTGATCTGTGCTTGTTTTGCACCGCGAGCTACAGTTCATGTACACTTAGCATAAAAAAATAGAAAATTTGCGTTTAGTCTGTCCAGTTTTTAAATAACAGTGCTTCTTTACAATGCAATATTGTTTATTTCCCGTTAAATGGTGCCACATTTCCAAGGAAAGTTGCCACATAGAAAACTTTTCAAAACTTCTTTGTCAATGTCAAATGGCTTATTTTGCTGCTGAATTTTGTTTGGAGCCATTTATTGGAATTAATGATGAAAATATCTAAATGGACATTATTAGAAAATCCATCGAAACTAATTGTAATCTGAATTGTAAATTGATTGATAGTTTTAATCCGTACTCTCTAAAAGTGAAGATAAAGGAACATGAATGAATATCGGCTTCTATCCAATGAGGGCAAGCTTTGTTTTTCCAGTGAGACAGATGCTATCCCACAGCATTACACTGCCTTCACCAACAGCTGTTAGGAATACAAGCCTGCAGCTGAACCCACAAATGCAACAAATGTTGCACCAACGGTATAAAATCTATAGCCAGGAAGCATTTTTTCAACAAGAAAACTGTAAAACTTCCATCATTTTTTCATGTTTACATGGTTCAACCTCTGTGAGATGTTTTTGTTTTTAGAGATTTTTCTGATAAACACTCATTCTGTAAGTTTTCTGTGTTTTAAACCTCCCAGTACTAGTCTGGTAGTTGAGGTTCATTAAAGATACAATGTGTGAGACAGACTGAGGGCATGGCCTCCACTGTGTGTGTGTGTGTGTGTGTGTGTGTGTGTGTGTGTGTGTGTGTGTGTGTGTGTGTGTGTGTGTGTGTGTGTGTCTGTGTGTGTGCGTGCGTGTGCAAAATGGACAAAAACATGTCATTTCATCACGTCGCTTTCCCCTGTGCAACTAAAGACAAACCTGCAAGTTTTTCCACGTTGTTATTTACAGTTTTATTTACAACTGAAAAACTCAGCAGTGAGATCAAGTTTTGCACTTTTTTTTTTATCTGTTTGTTATAATGCACAAATTTTGTGTGTACTATTGATTGCCATATATACATTAATGGCTTGCTCCATCAACATGACAACATTGACATGGATCTAAATGGTAGCACATTGAGAATTACTATGTATAAACGTCTGAGCCGTTACACTGTACATGAATCAACAGTCCAGAAGGCAGATATTTCAATATCAATATTTACATTCATGCATCCATCATTTTTCTCTTATAGGTACATGGTGGGGTATACTGTTAGCTAATACTTGTGCATGGTTACATGCAAGCATGTGTTTAATTTTTTTCTTCTTCTTCATTTCTTCCAAAATTCAACAGTTTAGCCAATATCTATGCATCTCTGACATTCACAGAGACTCTTATCTCAAAGCCCTCATCTGCATGCACGCTCGCATACAGACAGATACTCACATCCAAATGCATTCGCACTCACATGCATGGACACACGCTGCTTTAACGTTGGAAAAAAAAAAAGCAGAGCCGTTGTGTTTTTCCACTGAGGATGTGGAGGATGGCTGTGACAGCACTGAGTCACAATCGTCCCTGCTGTGGAAATCCTCAGTGCAACCTGATCCTGTTGCTATTGGATAAGTCTTCAGCCACAAAGTCAGCCCAGCACTCTCATCCCCTGTTTCTGTAACTATAAGCAAAGCCTGATGTAAGATGGAAAAAAACAAAGAGTGTCAGATTTGGACAAAACATGGCTGAAGGCGTCAGGCTTATGGAGAGGAATTTGTTCCAGTGTTGTTGCAAATAAAAACTTTAATTTGAAAAAGAAATTCTATGAAGGATTATCAGGGCAATGCTAAAAATTTTTTTTTAAATCAATGACAATGAACTCATACAGGAAAAAATATGAGAATAAAGTTATAACATCATGATAATAAAGCCATAAAAATATGACTTTATTAGTTGTAAAATTATTAGCTTAAAGTCATAATATTCTGAAAGTAAATTTGAACAACAATAAAATCTAAATAATGTGAGAATAAAAATTATATTACCATAAGACTTTTTTCTTGCACATCCTGGTAAATTTTTTATCATTATTATTATTATTATTATTATTATTATTATTATTATTATTATTATTATTATTATTATTATTATTATTATTATTATTATTATTATTATTTTGGTCCAAATAGTTGTTTAAAAAATTTGAATTAAAAAAACTTCTATTTACTTAGTAATTTGCAATATTTATCCAAAAGTTGTGCTAACTTTTTGCAGTTTGATACTTTTCATATTTTATTTATGTATTTGTATATATTATATCTTTTTTCCTCCAAAAAAATTAAGATTTCCTCCAAGATTTTTATTGGTTGATTGGCTGTTAGCAACAGCTTTTTAATTGGACAGCTTGGACAGAAAGTTTTGGTCCTTGTTTTTCAAAATAATTTGAAAAAAAAAAATAATAATAATTTGAAAAAATAAAATCTGAAAAAATGTCAAACTGCATTGACACACATATTTAATTTATATTTAATGTTTGACATTTATTTTTCCCAATTAAATGTTTTAAACTTAACGTCTTTGCTCACAGTAATATTGGAACAAATTTCTCTCCGTACCGGCTGATCGCTGGAAACAAACCGTTAAGATACAGTAAAAACGTCTGGAAACACACATTCACGTGACACATCATCCAGGCCCTGACAGAAAGTCTGGTGAGCTGAAATACAGACATGGGTAAAATAAAGTAAGTGCACCCCTTGATTCAGGAGCTTTTGCAGCCATCATTAGCAGCAACAAAGCAGTGGTTTAGTGACTTTTACATTATTATTGCCCACACTGAAAAAAGTAAATAGGTGATTTCACTTTAAAAATGTTGTCAATTTGTCACAAGTAACCAAATTGAGGTTATACAAGTAAATATATTAAGTTTATTTGAAAAAAAAAAGCTTAAATAAAGCAAGTTTTATCAACTTAATTTTATCACATGGAACAAATTAACTCATTGTTTTAAGTTGGAGCTCCATTCTGTCTCATCATTGGCAATGCTCTGAAATTCCCAACCAACTTTTCAAAAAGGCTGAAGCCTGGGATTTGACTAGGCCATTGTGAAACCTTGATTCTTCTTATTTTTCAGGCATTATTTTGTAGATATGCAGTTGTGCTTGCAACTTATAACAACATGTTTTTCCAGTGTTATCAGTGAAATAATCTGCCAGAACTAGACTTTTTCATCAATATTAAATAAATATGAACTTAAAATAAGCCTGTATTTTATACCGAAAAGTTATTTGCAAGTTCGTTTTGTCTTATTTTGGGTGTACTACTAAGACATTTGCTAGAAACTAGACCAAAATTACTTGGTAAGATTCTCTGTTTTTTGCAGTGTGGATCAGCATGATCAGCAACCTGGCGGCTAATTTCCCTTATAAATCCGATGTAAGCAGGGACCTCACTTCTTCTTTCCTTGTCTGCATCTCAACACCCAGAGAGAAAAACCAGAGTCTCAGCAGACTGACAGGAAGATCACTAGTGATTAACATAGTTTACAAATTATTTGCTTAAAAAAACGGAGCAATCAAGAAAAAAGACAAATTCATCAAAAAGTCCAAGATTTGTAAGCATGTGTGTAAATTACAGGACAGTTTTCTTTAAGTATAAAAATAAATTTGAAGATAGTTAAATAAAATAAATAAATGAATGACTTAAAATATATTACAGGGAACAGAAGTCTCTTTTTTTGGTGTGGTAAAACAACCAGGACGTCCCGTGTTGATGTTGCTGCTCTTCTTCTCTGTTAAATATTAATTTCTTTATATTGCATAGTCAGATGAATCCACATCTCAGAGGCAGATCCTGCCTTTCACAAAGCGTGTGGTAAAGCGGAGAACAAAAGGTGGACACCGTGACAGAGAGGAGGGTTATAAAAAATCTTTCATTCTCTGTAAAAACATCATGCATGTTGTTGGTTGCCCTGTCTGGTTGCCTGTTGTCCCGCTGCAGACGTCAACAGTGCGTGAGGTCTGGATCTGCTGCAGACTGGCAGAAAGCTCCTCTCCAGCCTGCAGCCAACCAGCCTGTCAGCAACACTTGCTGTTACTAAAAGCATAATGCCCGGTCTGCTGTGCCACTTTTGACACCACAGGGAGTTGTGGATCCTGTCTCTGTCTTTTCTGCTCCGATTTTGCTCTGCTTTCCGTCTTTTTTCAGCTCCTCTTGAGCGAAAGGGCGTCATCAGTCCGGGCTAAATGCCAAACAAAGAGGAGAGGTTTACCTGTCTGAAAGCTTCTGGTGAACCCATGATGCGCTAAGGTTTTGAAAGGGTCTGTTGTTTTCAGGAGACATGATGTGGACATGATGGTGATTACTTCCTGGACCAGGAGAAAAGTCTATACCACAGTGTTGTTTGTACCCATGGCCTTCTTGTTGCGGATGCTCATGGCGTATTCCCCGCGACTCGTCCCGTTTTCCTCCTTTCGCAGTGGTTTCCTGCCAACAAACACAAGGACAAATTCTGAGGCATAACGGTCATGTGACATTACAATTTCCAATCTGTTTGTCTTCATAGTGGGGAGACCTATTGTGCAAAATTCATATGTTGGACATTTTTCTACTTCCACTCGGGTCCCAGATGCTTCTAAGAACCACTGGCAATGAGTTCATGTTTTTTGGTGTCTGGAAGATGAGCCTTTTCAAAATCTTCGAATGTAACGTCACAAATTAGCAGGTACTGGCCTTCACCTAGCAACCCCAGCAGAGTTCGGCCCGTTACCTAGCAACCCCAGCAGAGTTCCACCTGTTACCTAGCAACCCCAGCAGAGTTCCACCTGTTACCTAGCAACCCCAGCAGAATTCCACCTGTTACCTAGCAACCCCAGCAGAGTTCCGCTCGTTACCAAGCAACGCCAGCAACCCAAGAACTCAGTTAAAGCTCGTTTGTTGTATAATTAGCTGAATAATATTTGCTGGAACAGGCAAGTGTTTTGCCCCTTTTTTTGTGACGTTCTTTTACAGGTATCATTAAGCAGATTTCTACATAAAATTCTCTTAAACAATCCATATTATAACAATTTATTTTTCCTGTTCAGTTTTTTACAACCGAAAGACAAAAAAATTAGAATTTTTTTAATTGTTGATTTTTTGTGCTACACAAATAAAATTTCATTAGACTTTTTAACTCCTGTCTTATTTCTCACTTACCATTCAGAAACCACTTGCTGCATTCCTCATTCTGCATTTTAAAGATATACGGTTGTATAATTTCTCATCTGTTAGCAGTTATTTTTACAGTTGAGTGTAAACGTTGAGTTGGGGCTGTGGCCAGCAGCAGCTTGTGTGGATTTAAAGTGACAGAGCCGTAAAACGGCTCATTCTGAGAGAAGTTCAAATTAGTCAAAACTGACAAAAATGTAATGAAGATGTCCTGCATAGACCTGTTCAAGGAAGCACTTTATGTCAAGTTTAAGATGATTTGATTTCTGCAGCTCCTCTCCTGGATTTGTTGATCTGGGCAATCCTTCCTGTAAACAAGCTCAATATTTAAAGGTCAATTTTGCAAGGAGACAAGAGTAAAAAATACATCACCTTGCAGCAGATATGACAATTACCTACATTAACTGGTTGATATAATTTTCCCTCTAAGTAATAAGCATACAAGGCTGTCAAAACAGCTGTGGAAATACATGGCATGTCATATTTGTGCTCCTCACTAAACTTCATCCTTTTTGTGAGGAAGATCTGCTACAAAATGCAGCTGCAACCCTCGATCCCTTCGTCGCTAATAGCCGTTTCACTCAGTGTAGCCCTTTTCATGCACTCCATAAAGCCTTTTTGGTTATATTATATTTGTCCAGTGTACTGTGGCTTTTCATCAGCCCCCTCAGCCTCTGTCCCCACACAGGTTATATAACTTGGAGACAGATCTGAATACAGTGAGTACAGTCATTGTCCAACTCAGCACTGTACTTGGTCCCGACCAGCAGAGCAACATTCTTACTGTGTGTCTCGTCCTTCGTCCTCATGCTGAAAGCTCAGGTCAATATTCTGTTTTATTCTCCAGAAGCAAAATAAAAAAAGAAGTTGTTTGTGAGATAAATGAAAAGCACAGTAAATATAACTACAGCAAAACATGGTAGTGGCAGCATCATGTCATAGGGAAGCATTTTTCCCAGCAGTGAAGTTGTTCAGTTTCCAAAAGCAGATCAGAGTAGAACAAAGAAAACTTGTTAGAAGCTACAATATTTAGCTTGCTAATTAAATATTCAGTTTGAAACTGACAATTATAAATGGATAAATGAATGACATGGTGAAAATATTAATTTCTTTCCTCTTATGACAGGCTAAGCAATTAATAGCAAGTTATTGCTATTAATTGTTAACTGTGTTGTGCAACTTTACATACAGGGCCCTATAATCCTGTGCTTTTTAATAAATTCAAAGTTGCATTCTTTTGCTGAAGGTCATGAAAGTTAGCGAGAGAAATAAAACTGTGAACAAAGTGTGAGACGATGACTAAGACTTGTGTCATCTGGCTGGGTTTGTGTCAGAGCACACCAGGGACAAAAGGACGGCCATATAGGACAGACGCTGCCTGCTGTGACCATGTGGACGCTCAGAAATGAAAGTGGCCAGCCTCAGGGGGGAAACACATTCTGCTGTTGGGTTTGAGATGCCGCACCGACGCAGCTGTCGCTCTGGGAATTAGGATAGACCAGAATTTCACCGATGGATCCCGGTGTGTACAAGCAGCCAGGGAATTTCCCTACTTTTCATTTTCATCACAATAAACCTGCAGCTCCTGAAAAGATTTGAATCTATAATCAGTTCTAATCATAATCTTGTAAATTGGAAATACTAGCTCCCACATACAAAGTCAATTACAACTTAGAAAAGTTTAAATAGCTTTCAGACCCATTATGCAGAATTCACATTTTGATGTGGTTCTAGTTGAGTCTCTACTGGTTCTGAAAACAACCTAAGCACTTAAAAAAACACTCACCTGTTTAGTTGATCAATAAGTCAATGTCTTTTGGTGTTTGAAAAATGAGCTGTTTCAGAAACCTTTGGAAAATAAAATTACCAATCAGCAGACCTTACCTTGCAACCCCTGCAAAGTGCAGCCTGTTCCCCAGGAACCCAAGCAGAACTCCAGCATATTTGGTCAGCTGGTTTTACAGGTATCATTGCTTTTGTATCAGCTGCTTTTGTACAGCACATGCTTTTGTATGTGCTGTACAAAAGCAGCTGAAAAAGACAAGTGTTTTGTTGTTCACTTAACATCCAGAAACTACTTGCTAAATTCTTGTTGGTTGTGCAGGACACTCTACTGATGCTTTTCAAAGATGTGCGGTTGTTTAATTGCACATCTGTTTGCAGCCATTTGATTTTAAAGAGATCAGGCAGAATAATTTCGGGCTAAATATCTAATGAGTATGTTTGGTATAGCCCTTAGATCTATCCTAACCTAATCAAAAAAGCATAATGGGTCACATTTAAATTCACTACAGCTGTGAATATAGGAACAGCCTTCAGTGAAACATAGTATCATTCTGTCAGGATGCTTTTAAGTGGCTGAATACAGAGTGGAAGAGTTTAATATATAGCATCATAGTTCCATCCATACATGAGACTAACAGCCTGGAGCTGAATTGTAGCTTCAGAAAATGAGACAAAACATTCTCTGATCCAGACTTGTGCAGAAAGCCATCAACTTCAGACTCTAGACTGAACTGAAATAATATTTTAATCCACATGTAAGGATGCTGGCCAAACCATGGCCAAATGCAAAATTTATGGCTGAGGTATCATGATGAGTTTTTTATTTAGACCCATTAAAACAAAGTTCAAACTAAAACTCTTTGAGTATGACCTGCTATACTTCTGAAAATGTAAACAAATAATTTTGATCCTTTTAATCCACCCACATACATTATAAACAGTTAATTTAATTCACTGATTTCTGCTTACAGCTAATGAAATATAGAATATTATGATTTTGATGCAGAAATCTTTAACATCTGCTGAAAGTCTATTTTCAAAATGTACTTTTAATTTGGCAAACAATCGTCAGGAGAGCACATATTAGATTGATGTAATGCTGTATTGTCTTAATGAGAATGATTAAATTTAAGTAAATAAATATAATCAAGTAGCTTCATTAGATTCTACAAGCCACCATTTGTGGGTCCTTATCCTTCGTCTCACTGAAGCTGCTTGTTCATTTCTAATCGCCCAAACCTCATGTTTTGCTGACTGTCGTCTTTTATCTTTATCTTTCTCATTAAGTAAATTGGTCCTGCTGACCTCAGCATCTTTTTGTCTGTCTTTCCTAACTGTTTGGCGCATTGCCTTTGCCGACTCAAACTGTACTTGTTTAAAGCTGCAGAAAAAGACACAAAAAAGGTTTTTTTTTTCCTGCTAAATATATTATTTTATTCACAAACACTTAGCAGAGTTATAGAAATAACCCTTTTATCCTCTATATAATTATGAAAAGAAATAATTTTCCATTATCCATCTTATTTTCAAGTATTTCTCTTAATTACTTGACAGAAGTGAATAATCAGAGGCAAAACAGGGCTTATAAAAGCTGTTTATGTGACGTTTCATGTGTCATTCCGCTTCCAGACGGGTGGATTTTCAGGCTTGTTTATTTTCCCCAGGATGTAATCTCTCCGCGGAGTGACCGTGTCGCTCCGGGCCACCGCACGGGGCCACAACGCCGGGCCCTCGGACCGACCTCGACCCGGCCCTTCAATAATAAATGTCATGCTGTCGGCATATGGCAGGTGGCAACACAACCCTTCACAGGTGAGATGAATATTTTATGTCAAAGCTGTGGAATCACAGCGCACGCGTTCCTGTTTGAAGTTTGGGGAATGGATGGTGGAGAAATTGGGACGTGTGTTGAGCTGTTTACATTTACACTGGCCATCTGGAAACTGGAGTAAAAACTAGAAATATTAAACACAGGTTGTAAAAATAATGTGTTGGTAACTATGTGATTATCAAGGTTATTACAGTTAACTGAAACTAATGAAATAAAAACTGGTATTGAGAACATTTTCATTAACTTACAGAACTAAAAATGGTGGGGAAAAAACTATTGCTAACTGGATCTGCATTGTGTGTTTGCAAGACTGACTAAAACATCCTGAAATTATAGATGCAATATCATTTGTTTTCATGTTAATGAATATATTTATTAGCCTTTCGAAGTGATGTGAAATTTATTTATTCCCATGCAAGACGTTTGTTGATTAAAACTAACTGAATTAGACAAAATCTAAAATTGTTTGTATTTTTCAGAAGGATGAGAGAAAGAAAAGATCACAAATGTGGTAACAGCACAGCAACTATTGATTATGACTCAACAATTGGGAAGATTTTGAAACAGCGCATTTCCAGACACCAAAAACAGAAACATTTTACAAAATAAAACTATAAAACTACCATAACCCTATTGAACACGCTACTGGCCGGTCTTTGAA